ATACTTTGTCAAATGCTTTTCTGCATCAAATGAGAGGATCATATGGTTTTTTTATTAATATGGTGTATCATGTTGATTGATTTGGGGATATCTAACTATCCTTGCATCCCAGGAATAAATCCCACTTGGTCATGCTGAATAATCCTTTTAATGTACTGTTGGATCCTATGGAATAGTATCTTCATGAGTATTTTGGCATCCATGTTCATCAGGGACATTGGTCTGTAATTCTCCTTTTTGATAAGGTCTTTGTCTGGTTTTGGGATCAAGGTAATGCTGGCCTCATAGAAAGAGTTTGGAAGTTTTCCTTCCATGTCTATTTTTTGAAACATCTTCAGAAGAATAGGTATTATCTCTTCTTTAAATGTTTGGTAGAATTCTCCTGGGAAGCCATTGGCCCTGGACTCTTATGTGTTGGAGATTTTTTATTAAGGCTTCAATTTCCTTGCTGGATATTGGTCTTTTCAGATTTTCTTTCTTCCTGTTTCAGCTTTGGTAGTTTATAAGTTTCCAGGAATGCATCCATTTCTTCCAGATTGCCTAATTTGTTGGCATATAGTTGCTCATAATATGTTCTTAAAATTGTTTTTATTTCCTTGGTGTTGGTCGTAATCTCTCCCTTTTCATTCATGATTTTATTAATTTGGATTCTTTCTCTTTTCTTTTAGGTAAATCTGGCCAAAGGTTTATTGATCTTATTAATTCTTTCAAAGAACCAGCTTCTAGTTTCGTTAATCAGTTCTACTGTTCTTCTGGTTTCTATTTCATTGTTTTCTGCTCTAATCTTTATCATTTCCCTCTGTTTGTTTTAGGATTTATTTGCTGTTCTTTCTCCAGGTCCTTTAGGTGTAAGGTTAGCTTATGTATTTGGGATTTTTCTAATTTTTTGAGAGAGACTTGAATGACTACGTACTTACCTCTTAGGACCACCTTTGCAGTATCCCATAAGTTTTGATCCAATGTGTTTCATTTTCATTGGTTTCAGTGAATTGTTTAAGTTCTACTTTAATCTGGGTTGACCCATTCATTCTTTAGCAGTATACCCTTTAACCTCCAAGTGTTTGAGTTCCTTCCAAATTTCCTCTTGTGATTGAGTTCAAGTTTCAAAGCACTGTGGTCAGAAAATATGTAGGGAATAATCTCAATCTTTTGGTATCATTTGAGACCTGATTTGTGACCCAGTACATGATCTATTCTAGAGAAAGTTCCAAGTGCACTTGAGAAGAATGAGTATTCTGTTGTTTTAGGATGGAATGTTCTGTATATATCTGTGAAGTCCATCCGGTCTAGTGTGTCATTCAAAGCCCTTGTTTTTGTTGATCTTCTGCTTAGATGATGTGTCCATTGCTGTGAGTGTGGTGTGCAAGTCCCCTACTATTAATGTATTATTATCAATATGTTTCTTTACTTTGGTTATTAATTGGTTTATATAATTGGCTGCTCCCATGTTGGGGGCATAAATATTTACAATTGTTAAATCTTCTTCTTGGATAGACCCTTTAAGTAGATATAGTATCCCTCTTCATCTTATTACAGTCTTTGATTTAAAATCTAATTTGTCTCATATGAGGATTGCTACCCCAACCTTCTTTTAAGGACCACTAGCATGGTAAATGTCTCTCCACCCCCTCAGTTTCAGTCTGGAGGTGTCTTTAGGTCTAAAATGAGTCTCTTGTAGACAGCATATGGGTCTTGCTTTTTGATCCAATCTGATACCCTGTGTCTTTTGATTGGGGCATTTAGCCCATTTACATTCAGGGTAACTATTGAAATATATGAATTTAGTGCCATTGTATTGCCTGTAAAGTCTCTGTTTCTTTCTGGTCTATGTTACTCTTGGGGTCCCTCTTCACTTACAGGATCCCCCTTAATATTTCTTGCAGAGCTGGCTTGGTGGTCACATATTCTTTCAGTTTCTGCCTGTCCTGGAAACTCTTTATCTCTCCTTCCATTCTGAGTGATAGCCTTGCTGGAAAAAGAATTCTTGGCTGCATGTTCTTCTCATTTAGTACCCTGAATATATCATGCCAGCCCTTTTGGCTTGCCAGGTTTCTGTGGATAGGTCTGATGTTAATCTGATGTTCCTCCCTCTATAGATAAGGAACCCCTTTGTCTCTAGCTGGTCTCAGGATTCTCTCTTTTTCTCTAAAATTTGCAAGCTTCACTATTATATGTCAGGGTGTTGATCTATTTTTATTGATTTGGGGAGGGGTCCTCTCTGCCTCTTGGACATGAATGCTTGTTTCCTTCCCCAGATTAGTGAGGTTCTCAGCTATGATTTGCTCAAATATACCTTCTGCCCCCCCCTTCCCCCTTCCCTCTCAGGCACACCAATAATTCTGACATTTGTTCATGTCAGAGCATCATTAAATTCTTAAAGCCTTTCTTCATGGGTTCTGAGTTGTCTTTCTCTCTTTTCCTCTATTTACTTCCTTTCTATCAGCCTGTCTTCTAGATCCCTTGCTCTCTCTTCTGCCTCATTCACCCTAGCTGTTAGAGCATCCAATTTAGACTGCATCTCAGTTACAGCATTTTTAAGTTTGGCCTGATTAGATCTCATTTCTGCGCTTAGAGATTCTCTGCTGTCTTTTATGCTTTTTTCTAGCCCGACTATTAACTTTATAATTGCTGTGTGTTAGAAGACACTACCTCCCAAAATTGCAAAGAAAGCAAAACTTATCTATATACAAAAATTAAATTGAATAGTGAAAAAAAGAGCTAAAATGAAGCATATACCTATTAAATGTATATGTAAAAAATAAAAGTTAAAAAGCAATTTAAAAACATAAAAAAATGGAAAATTTCAGACTGAAAACCAAATTGTGAGAATAAACCTCAAACTCAATATACTATTTTCCCCTGGCGCTGAAATTTTACAGTCTTGTGGGATCGGTAACCTACTCTGCACCTGTTTTTCCAGATTATCTTCTAAGGGAGGGGATTGCTCTGCTGCTTCTCAGGTCTTTGCCTGGTTGGAGTTGCACTGCCCCTTGCCAGGGGGCTGTGCTCAGTGTAAGTTGATCCTCTGTGTGGCTTTTATTCCCTGGAGGCTTTCCGCACCTCTTTAGAGGATCAGAATAAAAATGGCCATGCCCTGATCCCCAGCCCCAGAGCTGAAAGATCGCAGTCTCCCCTCTTCAATAAACCTCTGGGACAAATAGTCTTCACTTTTGTGTGTGCCAGTCTCCACGGTCTCTTGCAGTGCGTGCCACTGTAATCCTCCTAGTGGGTGTCCAAGGGACCTGTGTCGCTGCCCTTTGTGTGCCCAGGAACTGAGAGTGATTGTGGGCTCATGTGCATACCCTGCTCCACTGTTCCCAGGGGATGCTGGGTGTCACCCTACTGTCCTTTCCAGGGCCACCACCCCAAGAGCTGTTGCTCAGTCTTGGGTGCACCCTTTTTGCCCCTTCTGGGATATGGCAAATGGCTGCATGTTCCAGTCCTTTTCAAAGTGCTCAGGCAGAGCGGTCACCCAACCAGCTCGGCTCGCAACTTATGGTGACCCGGGCTGAGAGTCCCCTCCTGGGCTCACTGCCTGTAACCAGTTTCCCCACTCCACTGCTTGGGCACTCTACCAGTTCAGACACCCCCATCTGTTCTGTGACTCCTGGGATCCTGAGACCACAATGACCCATCTAGAATTCTGCCCTTTTCATCCCCTGAGCCCCTTGTAGACAGGGATGTCTCTCACTGGAGCAGATTTCTAAGGGTTCTGATTTTGTCCTCTGGGGCTATATCACTTTCCGGTAGCTGGCTTGTGGAGGCTCCCTCCCCTCTCCGTTTATCTTCCAATATCTCCCCGCACCTCCTACCTTGCAAAAAAACAGTTGCTTTTCTACTTGTAGAGTTCCAGATATGTTTTCTTACAACTCAGGCTGAATTCATGGGTGTTCAGAATGGTTTGATAGACATCCAGCTAAATTCAAGGGATCAGGTGAAACAACATCCCCTATTCTTCTGCCCTTTTGCCGCTGTGGAAGCTCTTAGTATGTTCTGAATGTTAGTTGCTTATCAGGTAGATGACTTGCAAATATTTTTTCCTATTCTATGGGTTGCCTTTTCACTCTCTTATTAGTGTTCTTTGATGCACAGACTTTGTGTTTATGAAGTCTATTTATTCTGTTTTTTTTTTTCCTTTGTTACCTGTGCTAAGAACTCTTCATCAAATCCAACATCCATGAAGATTTCCTCCTACGCTTTCTTCTAAGAGTTTTACTTTTCGTTTAGGTTTTAAGTCTTTGATCCATTTTGAATTAATTTTTGCATATTGTGTAAGGGTCCAACTTCATTCTTTTGTAGGTAGATATCCATTTTTCTAGTAATGTTAGTTGAAAAACCTGTCCTTTCCCCATTGAATGGCCTTATATGTGAGGGTTAATTTTTGGGTCTCTATTCTATTCCAGGTCTGTGTGTCTGTCCTTATGCTAGCACCACACTGTTTTGACTACTGTAGCTTTATATTAAGTTTTAAAATCAGGTAACTGAGAATGTTCAACTTAGTTTTCTGTTTGAAAACTATTTTGGCAATTAATAATAAAATAAAGTGCAAAGTAGACTTTGTAAACTATATGTGTTATGTGTAAAGATTTATGCTGATGACACCCATATTTATATTTTAAGCCTGACTTATCGTGAGCTTCAGACTTAAAACTGCCTGACATCTCCACCATGTTGCTCAATATTAACATGCCAAAACCAGTTTTTCATCTCTTCTTTGAAATTTGCTTTTCCCAGTTTCTACATCTTAGTAAATGGCATCACACACTTTTTCTCTCTTTTTTTTTGCCACTGCTTCTCCTCCCATCCTCTCCTGTCCCATATCCTATCTCTCAACAAGTCCTGTTGGCTTTTTCTTCCAAACATATCCCCAATCTGACCACTTCCATCCTCATTACCCTAATCCAACGTGCAGTCATCATATTTCCCTTAACTCCTTGCCCCAATCCATTCTCTTTACAGAAGTCAAGAAGTCTGAGAAAAGATGAATTCTGGAGTCTTACCTTTAAGACGGTGGTCCAAGTATTCTAGGACTAATTTAAACATTTGAATTAATGCAAGAATTAAAGATCCAAATGCTAGGGATCCTGTGTGATATCTGGGCAAAGATAAAATGAGAATCAAAGTTAAAATATCTTTACTACTAACTAAAAGGATGCTAAACAATTTTAATAGGTAAAAAGGATCTGCGGAAGGATAGGGAAGAGTTTATTACACTTTCTTATTCAGGTTCATAAAGGTCTTCTTAGAGGATTTTATATGATATACATCTATATTGCCCTTCATCTACAAAAATGATACCAAAAGCCTGTCATCATAAAATACAATGTTTGGGCTAAGCAATGGAGAGAAGTCAAGTTAATTCTTCATTTTTATTTTGGTGCCCTCCCCTACTACCTGTCTTCAGCAACCCATGGCTTTTAGAAGGATGTTGGCCTGGGTAGGGATTGTAAAACTGTGGCTATAAAACCAGACATAGCCAATGGACATCCATGAATCTTAAATCATACCTTTGACCTCATTTGTATTTTGCCACTTGAATTATATAGGCATAAGACTGAATTATAAGCACACTAAACATAACTGGGAAGACAGATGTAGGATTCCATGTGGAACTTACCGTATGGCTCGTCCAAATGCAGTAAAAACTGGATACTGTGGGATGTCATCAGGTTTTTTCAAGGCCCAGTAATAAGAAGCAAAGGCACCAGCAAGGGCACACTGACCCAGTGCAATGACAAAGTTTATAAGCCAGAGAAAGACAAATAGATTGAACATCTGGAAGGTAGGGACATACTGATGGTATAGGCTCTTTCCACCATAGAAAGCAAAGTTACACTGAGCCCCAGGGCAAACTCTGGCAATTTCAGTTGTATTAAAAATCTGCACTCAGAAAAAAAAAATACAGATAATATAGTATGAAATGCCATTCCAAGATAACACATTCCCTGCCTTCTCTTCTTGTGTAACCCCCCAATTGCATGTCCTACTCTTTTCACATTAACTTCTGCAGTTAGTCTTTTTTTCTTTTTTTTGAACATATAGTTGTGTTTTTAAGATTTGAGAGTGAGCGAGCATGAGAGAGAGCATGATCACAGTGGGGGGGGGGGAAGGGGAGAGGGAGAAGCAGACTCCCTGCTGAGCAGGGAGCCCAACAAGGGGCTTGATCCTAGGACCCTGGAATCATGACCTGAGCCAAAGGCAGATGCTTAATCCACTGAGCCACCCAGGTGCCTCTGTGATTCCTATTTTCTATCCCATCACTTTATATTATTCCTTAATGAGCACTGTAAAGTATTTCATTTTCTATCATATGGTCACCACTCTGCACCCACTAAAATTTCACATTTATTACTGTTGTTGTTGACCTTTCCAGCTTCTTCCATGGGCTCAGGAAATAATAGTGCTTTGTCTCTATTCTGCCTATCATTTCAGTGCTCTCCTGCTAACACCTGATCCACCCTTCCCTTCTTAACAGTGGTCCCCATTAAGGTCTCTATTTCTCAATGATTTTTACAACTGCTAGGTGAAATGCAGTAGAGTTCTGTACTGAAGTAAGTAAAAGAGAGTTTCTTTGACTTACCTCTGGGTTACAGGTTGTATTTTCATGTTTACATGTCCTTTCTGGGGATATGACTTTGTATATAGGTACCCCCGATGTAGCCAAGTAACTGGGTTAACCTATTAAGGATAAACTATTCCAACTGGTAGATAGAAAGTAGATGGACGAGAAAATAATGGAAATAACTCAAAAGCCTGCAGAGAGATTAACTTCAAAAACTTCTAATCCTTTAATAATTCATACATTTTTTCAGACCTGGAATAATGTAACATGGGTCAGCTACACTGAGTGGCCCCTTAACAGTAGAATACAAAGGAATTTTCTTAGGTTATTGCCAAGAAGAAGTACCATATGTGAAGACAAAACAAAATCTACCATATGACCTATCTGGGGGAAATTCAATCAGTAGACAAAGTTTTTTAGAGCTTAGCAGAAACAACAGCAACAACAACAAAACAACCAGGAAAAAAAACCCTTTAGGATGTTCCGAGTCTTCCTCGGATGGGAAGCACTGGACACAAACTCTTGGTTCTTAAACAGTAGTGTGGACCTGAGGTTTAAAGATGTCAATTACCAAAGGATACATTGCTGTCACTGCCCAGTAGGCAATACAGATGGAGAGGAAAATGAAAGTTAAAACTGGATAAATTAATGTAGTAGGGAGGTATCCAATGGCTCTGAAATAAAGCAAATAGTTGAAATTCAAAATCATTCAGAGATATAATTTCTCAATTAAATCTTTATCTGTTAAAATTAGAAATAAGCTTTAAAATGAATCCATTCTAAGAATGGTGGTAATAACCATTGACTCTTTTTGCTGATCATTCTGGCATTTTCTTAAAAAAATTAAAATTTTTAATTGGCTTTTAAATTTTACTTAAATGTTATTTATTTGTTTTTAGTAATTAGAGGCCTTCTTTTAATGTTCATATTTGATTCCTGTCAAAAGTTCCCCAAAGTTCCCCCAAGTTTCTGTATGACTCAAAGATTTGATACCCTAAACCTTCTCCTCTTTGGTTATTTCTGTATGACTCATAAAGATTTGATACATTATAATCATAGTTCTTCCTTTTGTTTAGATTCTTAGACTCTCAAAATTGGAGAGGACCTTGAGATCATCTGATCAAATGCGAGAATCCCTTCCTAATTCAGGAATCCCTTCTATGTTATCTTTTAAATATGTTCATTAGTTGGGCGCCTGGGTGGCTCAGTTGGTTAAGCGACTGCCTTCGGCTCAGGTCATGATCCTGGAGTCCCTGGATCGAGTCCCGCATCGGGCTCCCTGCTCGGCAGGGAGCCTGCTTCTGCCTCTGACCCTCCCCCCTCTCATGTGCTCTCTCTTTCTCTCTGTCTCAAATAAATAAATAAAAAAAAATCTTAAAAAAAAAAAATTTAAATATGTTCATTAGTTTCTGGTGACCATATGGAGTAATAAAAACTTACTTTTGTATGACAGTGCTTATTCTATTCTCTTAACAACCAAAATATTAAAAAGTTCTTCCTTATCAGCTAGCCTGTTACTCATATCCACTACCTTTTGGAGAAAAAATGATCACCTTTTCCATACAGCAGCCTTTCAAGGAACTCCTTATTCTTTTATACTCCAGTATAATCATTCCTTTAATATTTCCTCATAAGTCATGGTGTCTGAAATGTTCACCATCCTAGCTGCCCTGTTCCTACTTTTGAATAATCTTTTCAGCATATGACACTGGAAACCCAATACTGTTTGATATAACCACTAAGAACTATGATGGAACTATTTCCACTCCTAATGCAATGCATTGGCATATCTTAGATGCTTTTTGCATTTGTTACCTTGTCACCACACTATTTGAGCTAAGTTCTCTCCTTTCTCCAGATACTGCTATTAAGCGAAACATTGAGCATCTCTATGTTTACCCTGTATTCTCATACCAATTTATTCCAGCTCTTACTTTCCCTTAAAAAAAATTATCAACATGTCACAGTTGTATTGGCCCTTTCACACACACACACACACACAGACACACACACACACACACACGTGTAACAGTGGGGCAAGTTACAGTGAATTGTACAATATATTATTTAAGAAATAAACCCAGCAAATGAGGAGTTTTCAGTGGCTAATGACAGTGTTTCAGTTATGGGTAGGAGAGAGACTTTAACAAACTGCTTGTTAACTATTTAAACCATTGGATTCAAGTGGCACTCTTATTATAGATGACAATTTTGTTAAAATAATCCTTACAGACTATTTAAAATAATTTGGTCTTTGGTCATTAATAACTTAGTTTTTCATCATTCTAAATGGTCTGTTGGCCTTATAGTAATGCTTTTCTTGTTTCTTCCATGCATTATTCAAAAGTTTAAAGTATTATCCTCAAGTGACCTTTGGAATAGTTTAGAAACTGTAGGTATCATTATCTCCCAGCATGAATTTTAGTGTTTATTTTATAGCATTTTTTAACAAAAATGGTTCTGGGTATAAAGTGTTCTGAATTAAGAGCTGTAGATAGAAAATGTATAGTCTGGTGTTCCTAGGATCAGTTATTCTGTCTATTAGCAAATTTTGTCACTCATATAGAAATGGTAATAGCACATAATTGACTTTATAGAATTATGGTGATTTAAAGTTTTGCAAATGATCTCAACCATCTATATTAACATATGATTCAGCAGGGGAATAATACAATATATAATACAAGTTACTACTTTTACATAGCACTTTATCACTTACTTTCACACGTTATTCTAACATACATTTGGTATTCAAAAAGCGTTAATACATACGCTACACAGGTTTCAGCCTTAGTTCATCCTATGATAATTGAGGTCTGGGGATACTGAGGGATTTGTTAGCATGACCTTTCTAATAAGTGGCCAAGTCTGAACTTCAGTCTTCTTGAATGGAAAGCAGATTTGTTTAACAAGTCTTAAAGGGGAAGTCTATCTACACAATAGGCAGTGACTGATTTGAGTGACTGATATACATTATGTGAGTTTCTCCATCAGGGACTTACTTGCTCCCTTCCTTCAGCAGGGCAATGGAGATGCGGATTCGTTCCCTGAGGAAGATCAGCATGAGGATGATAAACACTTCAAGAAGGCAGAGTATTATCACTTTAAACAGGAAAAAAAAAATTAGTGTGTGATACAAATCAACCCAAAAAACAAACTTTCTCTGCAAAAATTTAGGACTGAGTTTCAGGACTTTTTCTGCCAATTCTGCCACTCCATAATTTAAGCAGTGCTACCTCTCCCAAAATGCTAATCTTAGAAATTCATTTTCAAAATCTCCAAGAAATGCTAAGAAATCTAGATTAAAACATTTAGCTAGAGTTTGAGCAACTCAATTGGTCAGGCTTCATTTTATCTGTAGAAACATTTCACACCATTTGTAGAAGTGAGAGAAGGAAGGCCTGCTGTAGGCAGCTCTATTTCAGATGTTTTCACTTTCACTTCATTGAGTAAGAGAATCATTACAGAAGAAACTCTTTGAACTGTCCACCCTGGGCATCACAGTGCCTCTTCATTAATTGACCTTGCTGACTGACAGGGCAGGCTCTTGGCTGCCACATTTTTATTTTGTGACTCTACCCATCATGGCTACCATTGATGGAATCAGGATGTAAACCCAACCCCAGTTGTCTAATAAAAGTCTCAGGATTAGAACTAAGGGAGTCTACTTCAGTTTTGAATTGAAGTTTGTGCACCTCTTGAACTTCGAGTTATATAAACTTAATGAACTATGTCACCTTTATGTGAAATAAGTGAATTTGCAAAGACAGAATAACATGTATGTGTATTAAAGAAACACAGCAGAGAGGCAATCTTGAGTTCTTTTGGCTTTCTGTTTCCTGGATCCAAGTACACCTGAAAGTCCAGCTGCTTTTCTGCTTTTCTGAGTTTGGTGAGACACTTCTATATTCTTATAAGTACCAATGCCTTGCCCCCAGCTTGTTCCAATTTTCTTTTCTTTTTGGCTACCTTCAATTAGTTTCTGTTTACTTTAAGCCAAATGGTCCTAATTACTATATTTCATCAATTCAAAGACACATCTTTAATTTAGTAGTAACTTTTCAAGAAAAGTGAAATCCTACATTAAATGTCTTTTCATTGATTATAAGATGCATCCTGACTTCATATATTAACATATCTGAAGTGAAAAGTTTGGATCTTAAAATTAAGGAAATATAGCACTGCTAATCATAGACTGAAATTGTAGAAGAAACTTAATGGAAATTTAAATTCCCACCTGCAAAAGAATCTGCTCTATTACATCCTTTGCTAGACAGTTATTCTGCTCATGTCTGAGCACTTTGAGTGATAGGACACTCATTATTTCATTTGATGTTACACCACTAAGATTCTGATGTCACAGCACGCATCAGTTAACATCTCCTAGTAGAAACCAGTAACCCAGAGATGTGAGAGGATCTTACATCTTCTTTTAGTTAAATTATGTATGTATGTATGTTGTCATGCATATTTGATTCTCTTAAAACAATACACTGAGTCCAAAATTATGGGGTATAGCCATATTAAGCTAAAATCATTATCTTCGGACAAACCTAAGAAAATGAGATATACCAAGAATCACTTTATATTCTGAAATTGCATTGATAACATTGCATGTGAAGCTTATACCTTCACAAAATTGCATATCCACAAGGATTAGAGAAATTTTATTGTCCTTTGAATTTATGTATTATATTCCTTTCTTGTGTTTAAGTAAGAGCAAACAATGGAAATCTATTTTTTGAGACCCTGTAGAGAAGCTGGTATAACTAACTTTTCAGAGGAGGAGACTGAGATAACTAATAGCAGAAATGAGATTAGAACCATCTCCTAACACAATCTGAGACTCACAAAAATGATAGTTTTTATATGTATAACTCTGCTTATTTTCAGTGTTTCCATCAATGAGTATAATTTCATATTATGCCCTTTTCTCTAATACCTAGAATTTTGTCCAAACACAGAACAAGTAATCAATTAATGTCCAATAAATGGGTTGTGAAAGTGGGGGCTCATTTGAGGAACGATTGGTACTGCTAGACTTGAAAATAAAAGCAAACTCTATATCTTCCTCAAAGGACATCATTTAACTTCTCCAGTGGCAGATTCTGATCATGTCAATAATTTTTGTGTTGAAAGCCCTTAAGAGACAGTAGTGGAATGACCACAGAACCTGTAATTAAGATCCACCTGAGAATAAAACTAGAGGTTTCAATACATAATGATGAGATTCATCATCTTTAGACATGATAGATAATTGCAAGTGGATTGCTGAGAAGGTATGGAATCACTCAAATTCAGGAAAAGTGATGAGGATACAAGTCCCAAGATGCCTGATTTTTATAATTAAAAAGAAATGGCTACAAATGAAATCATCTTTCTGCAGCATATTTGAAAAAAATTGTTATATGAAGGGAATTAATCTGCATGTGAGCTGGAAGTGGGAAGCCAAAGAACAAGGATGTGGCATTTTGATCCAGCACTGCCCAAGGAAAAGAGAAAAACAATGTGGCGGACAAAAGGAATCTGGGGGGCCGGGGGGGGGCTTCTGTGCAGGGCTAGGTCATCAAGCTTGCCAAGAGCCTTATAGAATAAAATCTCTCAAAGCAAAGCCCTTTGCTAAAAAGGCTACTCATTATTAATTTTGTTCCCCACATGCCTTGATTCCAGGAAAGCAGTGTCCTGGATGGAATAGGTCTGCATTCTGGTCCGGAAGGGTAGCCTAGTAGTATAAACAACTAAAATGGCACACTGGTTATGTAACGTGAGCCTGTCCTTGAAAGCCTGATGACTTGCGGGGAAGTGACAAAACCAAGTTTTCACATTTATGGAGATGGGACCCAAACCTGGACCCATGATGCCTCCATCAAGATACTGCTCACCTCTGAGGCTACCTCTGGGCTTCTTACCAGGCCTCCTCGAATGTGCCTTGTTTGGCTCTCTAACTTAAACAATATGAAGAATTTTTTTTAAAGCAACATGTAATTAGAGATTATTTTTAAATCTTGATTAAAGAACATGAAATGGGAGAAATATTATAATAAAACCATTTTAGGAATATAAAATTAAAGCTATCTCTGAAATCATCTTGCTTTAAAAATTCTGTTAATATTACCCTTAACTAATTCAATAATCTGAATAAACATTTCAGAATGTAAATTTATTTTATTACTCATTATTCCAATTCTTGTAATAGTTTAAAAGTGTTGTTATGAACAAAATTGGTCTTTCTTTTTTCCATTTTTAAAACAAGTTTGAAAAATCAAACAGTTTTTTCCTTTTAAAACACCTTTCTTGATATCAAGTTAATGGCTATAAACATCCACATCCAAATCATTTTAAGGTGAAGGCAAATAGCATGACATCATTGTAAAGTATTATTTTCTTAAATTATATAATAAATTCCCCTCAATGACTTTGCCATTTACTGTAGCTATTAAGATTATAGACACATTGGGGCGCCTGGGTGGCTCAGTTGGTTAAGCGACGGCCTTCGGCTCAGGTCATGATCCTGGAGTCCCGGGATCGAGTCCCGCATCGGGCTCCCTGCTCGGCAGAG